TTGCGTGATGGGCAAAAAAAATGAAAAATAAAATAAAATTAAAAAAAAAAAAAAAAAAAGAAAAGTGACAATACGGCACCATTAAACACATAACACCACAACAATAGTAAATTTTTACGTGATATATTCCAATTTTAAATGAAATAGAGTTGGTTTTGCCGTGGTGTAAAAACATCGCAAAAATTAATAACAAATAGCAAAGTGGGTTTTTTTAAATATTAGAAAAATAAAAAGAGGTAAAATAAAACTTGTATCATATACACAAATAATTTTATATTTACTTTTTTTTTTTTTAAATTTTTTTTTTAAAATTTTCTGTGTTTGTCTTGCACATGTGTTTTTTGTTTGAATTTAATACGTTGACTTTATATGAATTTAGTTTTTTTTAATTTTATTTTAAAAAAAAACTATTATATTTTATGAAATATTACTTGTTATAATTATTGCTATAGTACAAATGAAAAAAACTATATGAATTATAAATGAATAAATAAAATTAAAAAATATAATATTATTTGGCTAAAGTGTATTTCAATTAAAAATAGAAGAAATATAAAAAAAAAAAAAAAAAAAAAAAAAATTTTTTACAACAAAAAATATAAATAAATTTTTTTATAAAAAAAAAAAAATAAAATAAAATAAAGTCGATGTAAAGAAAAAATCTTCTCTTCAAAAAAAAGTATTGCTTTTATATTTTTTGGTTTGGCCTATAGATATTACCCACTATATTTGACTTTTCAAAATACAAAAGATTCATACACACATTTTTTTTTCCAAAATGACAAACCGGTTTCAATTTTGAAAAAAAAAAAAAAATATTTATTTTTTTTAATAATTTTTTTTTTTAATTGATATTTGATTATATTATGGATCGAGTTAATTAAATAAATATATGGAGAAATCTATGTGAGACGTTAAAAATTTTTTTTTTTTTTTTTTTTTTCCAACCAATCATTTTAAAATTCAAAAAAACTCATTTTTTTTTACCAAGTGTTATTTTGAAAAAAAATTAATTTTTTTCAGTCCAAAATTATTTTTGTACAATGCAGAAATTTACGTACGTAATATGATATCAGGGGTAGTTTTTATTGAAAATTTATAAATCATTTGGGGGGCCCGAAAAAACCAGATTTTACGGTTTTTTTTTTTAATTTTTTTTTTTTAAAATATGGGATAGTTGATAATTAATTTTTTTATTTATTTTATTTTATATTTTTGTATTTAATATGAATCTAATTATCAAAATATAGAAAAATCTAAAGATTTTTTTTTTGGAATATTTTTTAAAAATTTTTTCTGTATAAAATTTTTAAACCATGAAAGAAACAAATCGATAAGTTAAAAAAAAAAAAAAAAAAAAAAAAAAAATTATCAATTAATTACGATTACTTTAATTTTGTATTTTTGAAAGAGAAATGTAAAAAAAAAAAAAAAAAACAGATTTTTTTTTTATAAACTAAAATAAATTTTTTTTTTTTTTTACAATTAATAAATAGTTAGAAATTTATATTTTATTTAAAAGTTTATATTTGATTCTTGCATTTTCTTTAAAATATCATCTCTATTTTGAATCATTTCATCAAATAAATGTGATTGGTACTCTTGTTCTGCTTGTAAGTAATCTTGATTTTCGTCTTCATCAAAACCTTCGAAATTTCTTAAAATACTATCGTTTTCATATGTTGGGAAAAGGTATTGGGCATCTCTCCAAACTGGGTTTTCTTTTACAACACTGCAATGATCTTTATTGGTTTCAAAGTGACTATATAATGATGGTTTATCTTGATGAGTTTCACCACAATGACAACATACTAATTGATGGGTTTGTCTTCTAATAAAGTTTAATAGTTTCATTGATTCGTAGTAGTCTAAATTCCATGATTTTCTGAGCTTTTCAAAATTAAAATTATGTTTATTTTCCATGTGTTCGAATGTTAAATCAGAGTTGTCAAATTGATTTTCACAGAATAAACAAACTGCACATTCTTCTGGTTCTAAATCTGAATCTTCAGTCCAATCATCCCAATGTGTGCTATAATAAAACAAAATAATGGTTAGTTCTTTTAATGAACCAATTATAAAAAAAAAAAATATTAAATTACATACACTTGATGATTACCACTATTTTCTTTTTGGGCTTGTTTTAATAGGTCTAAATTGTTTGAAATTTGGTTATTATCATCGTCATCATTATCTGTTGATTTTTTTAAATCTTCCCAATTTTTACCTGGTTCTAAATAATTTAATAAATAAAATCTATCATATGTTGTATTGGTTGGGTTTAATCTTGTATGTTTCTTTTTTTTCATATGAAGTTTAAGAACAGCTGTAGATTTGAATATTTTATCACAATAGAGACATTGCATTAAATCAAATTTGGATTTTAAAATTTCCATAAATTCTTTAAGGTTAATTAAATTATCTGATAAACCTATATTAAAACTAAAATAAAATATTAATATGCTTTTAAAAAATTATTATTTATTGTTTGTGGGGTAGATAATCATACTTGTGTTGTTCATAAAGGTGTGTTGTAACATTTGATCTTTCACCTTTGAAAACTATTGGGCACATTGGACATACACATATAAAATTTGGGTTGGTTCTTTCTGAATGTTGTTCTTGTAAAACATAGTTCTAATATGAAAACAGGGTTAGTAAACTAGGTTTTTTATTAAAAAACAACGTGTAAATTAAAAATATAATACTTTACAATACGTTCAGTTTGAAGTTTTCTTCTTAAATCTTGATCTTCAGGCAATATATCAGAAAGAAGGAAATAGTTTGTAACTGGTTCGGTTTTTGATGTTTGGGTTTGTATTACAGTTGTAAATTCAGTTAATGGTTTACCTACCATTTTCTTTTTCCATTGTTCTAAATAACTTGATAGATTTGCTATTTGGTTTACATCAGCAATAACAAATTGGTGAGAGTTAAATAAATGTTCGAGGATAGTTCTGGATTCATATTCGAAATGGTTGCATAATAAACAATGGTATTTGACTGTTGAGGTTGATGAAATTGATTCGGACTCTGATGTGCTATAATCTTCAGAATCTGATTGAATATAATTGTTATTAATATTCGAGGCTTTTTTAAATTCAAATGATAGTGGTGATGATAATGGCTGTGTTGATGGCCATTTACTCCAATCTTCCATTTTATATTAAATTTAAAGTGTGTTAAATAAAAAAAAAGTTTACTTTTTATAAAAATTAAATTTAAAAAAACGATTTCGAAAAAAAAAAAAAAAAAAAAAATTTAATTAAAAAAAAAAAAAAAAAAAAAAAAATTAAAATAAAGAGCGTTGGGAGTTTTTTTTATAGTTAAAAGAAATAAAATAAATAAAGTGGTATTTAAATCAAAGAAATAATTATAAAAACATAGAGATATTTTCTTAATAAGGTGTGTTTGGATATTTAAAAAATTTTTTAAAATAAAATTTTTTTTATAATTTTTTTTATTTTTTAAATTTTTTATTTTTCTATTGCTTTTTTTGTAACATTATTTTCTTTTTGTAATATATATACATAATTTTTTTATTTTTTTTTATTTTTATTTTTTAAAAATAAATAATTTGTTATGATGAGTAATCATCATCATAATAATAGTAGTAATAATAGTGGTAGTCATGGTACTTCATATCAAAACCACCAAATAGGAGGAGTATTTTCAGCGAGTAGTGTTGGAAGTAGCAGCAGTGGAAGTTGTTCAGAGTATACAGGTTCACCATCATCAACACATTCAAATTTAATGTTTAATGGTGCATCATCACCACCATCATCAAACATGGTATTGGTAGGATCACCACCATCTGCTGCGGCTCTATCATTAAATATACAAAACAATCGGAATAGTTCTAGAGTTGTACCATCAATAGCACACTCATCATCATCGGTGCCAATAGTTGTAAATAATAATGGTACCAATAACAATAATAACTATAATGGCGAAAATGACGAATCATTAAATAAAATTAATAATTTTAGCACACTTTTAGAAGCAATTAGAGTTGATGATAAAGAATTAATTGTCGAATTTTGTAGATTAAATAAAAATTTAACCAAATTAGATTTTAGAGATGCAGATGGTAGAACTCCAATTCATTATTGTATAGAATATGACTCTTATGGTTCACTAGATATAATCTTATCATCAATAAACTTAAGTGATTTAAATTTAAAAGATAAAGATGATTGGACACCATTACATTGTAGGCATTAGTTAAAACAAAAAATTATAGCTACCTTATAAATTTATTAATAATTTTAATTTTATTTTTATAGACGCAGCATTATTTGATAGAATAGAATGTGCATTGATATTGGTACAAAATGGCGCAAATATAAATAGTTTAACTAACGAAAATTGGACACCGTTACACGTCGCATCATGGAGAGGTCATTCGGATTTTGTTACGATGCTAATAGAAAAAAGAGCAAAGTTGTCACCAAAAACCAAGGATGGGTTAACAGCACACCAATTAGCATTAAATTCGTTCCATTTTTCAATTGCAAATGAAATCTCAGAAGCCTTGTTAATTAAAGGTGATGGCGAAAATTTATCAAATAACAATCATCCAAACACAAGTACCCTAGATGATCCTTCATTAGCTGAGGAAATATTATCAACATTTAAAAGAAATAATCCACATTTGGAGCCAAATATGTAAGTTTTTTTTTAATTTTTTTTAAAAATTTAATTTATTAATTATTTTTTCTATTTTTTTTTACTTTAGTAATTATAATTTAATTAAAGATCATAATGGTGTAACACCACTTCACTTGTGTGCCGTAACAAATAGTGTCGATACAATAACATTATTAATTGAAGAGCATCATATGAATGTTAATGTTCAAGATAATTCAGGAAAAACACCATTACATTTCGCGGCCTATAATGCAAAGTATGAGGCTTTAAGAAGATTAATTTCACATGGGGCAAACGTAAACATATGTTTGGTAGATTATAGTAACCACAGTTTAATTTTAAACCAGTATTTAAATACATTTGGAAATAATAGCAAAAGTGTTGGAGTGTTGGTAAATAATAATGTAATAAATAGTAATGGAGGCAGTAGCAGTAGTGATGGTGGTAATACAAATTATATAAATAACAGCAACAATAATAACAATATCAGATTTAAAAAAGAGTATGGTATCACTCCATTACATGAAGGTGCATATTCAGGTGACGTTCAAATTATTGAGTTATTAATTGCAAACAATTCAAATGTCAATGCTAGATCTTATTATGGAACACCATTGCACTATGCCACTTCAATCGGTTCAGTCGAGTGTGTAAAGTTTTTATTAAATAATGGAGCTGATCCAAGAATCAAAAATGATCAAGGTATGACTGCTCTTCACGTGGCTGCTTTCCATGGTTACACAGCTTGTTTAGAAGCATTGGCAATTTCAAATGGTGGCGCTGAAGTAAATTCAAAGAGTAGAGATGGAAGCACTCCATTATTAAAAGCAATTATGGGCGCATCCGATTCTGATAATAAAGAGGCAAGTTTACAATGCATTACCTTTTTATTAGAAAAAGGTGCTGATCCAAATATACCAAATAATATGGATGAAACACCCCTCCATGTTGCAGCATATTATGGTTTATCTGATATTGTTCAAACACTAATTGGCCGTGGAAGTAATTTGGAAGCAAAAGATAAATGGGGTGAAACTGCTTTTCATAAATGTGTGTATCAGGATCATCCTAAAGTTTTAGAAATACTAATCAGTATGGGGGCTCGTATAAATGGTGAAAACTACGAAGGAGAATCACCACTTCATATATCAGTACGTAAAAATAGTAGTGAAACTGCCCATATTTTAGCATCGACCAAGGGTATCAATTTAAATTCTGTAAATAAATATGGTGAAACCCCATTACACTATGCTTGTTCTAATGGTTTAATCGAATTGGCAATGATGTTTTTAGAAAAAGGCGCTATCCCTCATATTCCTGATAGTCAAGGTGATATCCCATTAATGGCCGCTCTTAGAAGAGGTTTTACTGAAATCTCATTAACTCTTATTAGATGGGGTGTTTTCCAAGGTAATAATTCGAAATCAAATGATCAATCATCGAAATCATCATCATTCCTTAAAAATGAACAATCAACACAGCAACAAGCACCATCAAAAACATCATCATTATCAGCATCACCATCATTAGCATCATTGGCAATTGGTTCACCAATATTATCATCATCCCCAAGTAACTCATCATTATCATTAAATATCTCAGGTCAGCATAATCATTATCATCATGGTTCATTTTCCGGTAATGTTGGTGAATCACCCATGGTATCTCCAATGTTAAGACCCAATAATTACAATGAACATGCTTTGCATGCAGCGGCAATGGCAGGATATTCAGATTGTGTTTTAGCATTATTGGGTGTTGGTGCCGATATCAATCAGTCCGAATGTTATGGTAACACCCCATTACATGCAGCTTGTTATACAGAGAATGCAGACTTGGTAGATATGATGATTACTATGGGCGCAGATGTTAATAGAACCAATAAAGATCTTGTAACACCACTCCATGTAGCATCGTTAATGGGTAATTCTCGTGTAGTAGAGGTTTTAGTAGCAAGAGGTGCAAATTGTTCAGTTTGTGATAGAAATGGGGATACTCCACTTCACGGTGCATCACTCTCTGGAGACATTCAATCGATTAGTTATATTTTGGCATCAGGAAGTGTTCCAGTTGATACCAAAAATGCAAAACAATGGACACCGCTTCATATGTCTGCTTCCTCTGGTCACATCAAAAGTACAAAATATTTAATTCAACATGGGGCCAATCCAACAATTAAAAATATATCAGGTGATACTCCTTATGATACCGCTTTATCTGCTGGCCATGTCGATATCTCATCATTTTTAAGAAATATAAAACCAAAGAAAACTTTAAAAAATGTTTTTTCAATAAATTAATAGCTATATTGGTTTATTGAAATTTATACAAGTGTAATTAATAAAATTTAAATTGTAAAAAAAAAAAAAAATTAAAGATAATTCCTTTATTTGTTGTTTATTTATATTATTTTATAGTTTTTCTGTATTTTATTTTTTTGAAAGTGGTTGATATTTGTTATTACTTGAATTATTTTTGTTTCCAAAAATTGAGGGGAATCCGGATACTGAAGAAGAAAGTCTACTAGCACCATTTGAAGGACTTCCTCCACTTGAGGAGTTTAATGAGGTTGATAAATGGGCATTATAGGTATTTGGTAATGAAGATTCGATATCATCGTCAATATCGAAGGCATTATCCATTTCATCAAGTTTGCTATATATATTATTTGATGGGGAGGGGTTTTTCTTCCAGAATGATGCAAGGAATGATTTAGAGTTACTACTGTTGTTATTACTATTATTGTTATTATTACCATTATTATTATTTCTACCAGTATTAACATTTGGACTATTAAAACCGGAGTTATTATTATTAAAGTTAACTGAGGGCGAAGATGATAATGGTGGTGAGTTTTTAGAAACTGAAGCAGAGCCAGATTTGAATATTTGTTTTGGTGTATTGCTTGTTGGATTAAGTGACGATGGTGTTGCAGAGATTGAACTAAGTGGTTTAATATTATTATCGGTCCATTTTCTTCTTTCCATATCAACAAGGAATTTACCTTCATCTATTTGGTCATGTGAGAACTCTTCATCAAATCTAAATCTATTAATTTTGAGACAATTCATAATTCTAGAGTACAAGTTAAATAAAGTACATGAACAAACAATAACAATTAAAACTGGGAAATAAATGTAGAAATAGTTTCCTAAAAATGGTGCAAAATTTGTAGTACCCATAACCCTTGCAAAGGAAGTGTCATTACTGAGATGAATAAATTGAATAAAATTATAACATAATGGTGCAGCTAATCTACATAAATAACTATATAGATAAAATAAAGAATTAATATTTAATTATAATAATAATTGTTATTATGATACACAAAAACTTACGCAGCACTAAAAATTATACTATTCGAGTCAGAGTGTTGGTGTGGGATTAAACGATAATAGTTGAAAATTTTAATTTTAAATAATGTACTATAGGTTGTAAGTGCTTCATAGCCTAATGGGAAAAATACAATGAATTGAATCAAAAAGTTTGATATGTTTGCATGTTTGGTAATATTTGAGAGAACAGAAATATCGGTAGTAGAAACTGCAAGTGCAAATTCTTGGTAAACGACCAAGACTGATAAGAGTGCGAAAATGATAGCTGAAACTCTAAATACCCAAATCTCTAAATAGTTATACCAAATCCATTCGAATGAATCTAATTGTTGTGCGAATCTACCTGTTCTTGGCTCTTTAAAGCTCCAATGAACTATTTTATCTAAATTTAATTCACTGCTCATAATATCTTGCAATTCGAAAGTTTCTGCCAAACATTGGTCATATAAACTATTATTAAAAAATAAATAAATTAATATTAATTGTTTTTTTTTTTGGTATGTTTATAATAAAAAATACATTACAATTCTGATCTTTGACTATTTTGGATTGCATTTTTTAATCTTGAATTTAAAGAAACTAAACTTGAATGAGTTACTTCGCCAGTACCTTCACCTTGTTGAATTACAGAGTACTCGGGTGGGCATTGCTCGATAATAATTTTAATATACTTTTCATATGGGTCAAATCTTTGAGTTTTTTCTTCTATCTTTTTGATGATCTTTAAAGTTGAAATTAATTCATCGTTTGCTTTCTTTCTAGAGTTTAAAAGATCTACAGCTTTATATTGTAAATGCTTCAAGACTATAGTACGTTTAGTTTTAAGCCAGATATTTCTTGGAGTTTCTACCAAACCATAACCCATTAAAACGATAACCAAACAGAGACCCCATGTATTTGCTGCGGCCATTGCAAAACCAACCAATGCCGCCCAATCCAATCTTTTAACAATTAATAAGAATATCATTAATATTAAACCAATAACTGCAAAAGCTAAATATAAATATGCATTTTCTCTGAGTGATCTTGATACCTTTCCATAAAAAGTGAAATCACCTGCCAATACAAATGAACCTAATAGTGGATAAACTAACCATGTTAACAATAATGTACCAAAATAAAATGTCTGATAAATAATCTTCAAAGCATTTGGACTAATATATGAGTATGGTTCGCTACATGTATTTTGAATTTCATTTGATAATTGATTAAAACTATTGCTAGTACTACTAATATCACTGCTATCATTACCCAAACAAGCTCTATAACTTGTCTAAAATTATTAATATTTTAAATTTAAAATATTAATATTGTTAAGTTAGTATTATATTATATTATTATTGTTTTATTTTATTATATTATAAGGTTATTATGGTTATGTTATTTAATTATTATTTTGTTTTTACCTACAATTAAAATGTCTATTGGCACTAAAATAACAATACCAAAACACATAAACCATCCTATCCATACTGCTGTATAAACATACCAAGGTATTTTTTTATGTGATATATATCGATGTAATATTTTGGTTGTTAATAAACCTACAGCAATTAGGATAAATATAAAAATGGTTATCATATTTATATAAATATTAGTTAATATAGGTTATAATAATTATTTGGTTATTATTAATTGTGGTATAATAAATTATACCAGTGCTATTTTTTTTTTTTTTTTTTTTTTTTTCTTTTTTGTTTAATTATTTATATTGGATAGTAATTAAATAAATAAATAAAATGATTTAATGGATAGGTTTTTTTTTTGGGGAGAATCAAACGACAGTACCTATTGAATAAAAAATAAAAAAAAATAAAAAAAAAAAATTAATAAATAAAAAGAAAAATTAAAAAAAAAAAAAATTTTATTTTTTAAAAATTTTATTTTTTAAAATATTTTGACACCCTTTTTTTTTTTAATTTTTTACATATAAACAATTTAAAAAATAAAATAAAGACAATGATCCATTTTTTTGATTTCTTCACCATTTAATAAAAAATAAAGAAATTTTCTTTATTTATTAATTAATAAAATTTAAAAAAAAAAAAAAAAAGTGGTTGCTTCGGGTGAAATATTATTTTTATTATAAATTATCAGATAAATAAATTAAATTATTTATATTGTTGTGAATAGTTTCCATATCGGTAATATTATTGGTGGGAATTACATGAATTGATGCATTTGATAAATATTTAAAGGATGTGGTTGGAACAATATCTTCTTTAATAAAAGTACCAGATACAAAACTTTTTGGTGATAGTTCATTTATTATAACATTGGTGTAGTTGTTATCTTCAGCATATTTGAAAATTTCTTGATAGGTCTGTAGAAGTCTACATGGATTTGTTAAATTTTCATAGAGATGATATTTATCATATTTGTTATCTGTATCATTGAAAAATTTGAGATTTACATTGGACATTACTTTGGTTATTGGTTTTTTATGTTCAAATTCTAATTGTAATATATCATCCTTTATCATTGAAATATGCTTTGTGTGAAAACACGCACCTTCATTAACTATCATACACTGAATGTTTTTATCCTCTAATTGTTTTTTAAACTTTAGAATTTCACTATTTTTTCCACCGATTATACTTGATCTACCACTAATATATGCAATGATTTGTAAATCTGGGAACTGAGGCAAATATTCTTCTAAAAATTGTTTTTCATTCAATCTTGTTGCAATTGATGCACCATTGAAAGAAATTGTTTTTGATAATAAACACGACCTATTATACAAAATATAACATGCAGTTTCAAAACTTATAAGTTCTGAACAAAATGCAGCTGCCATTTCACCACAGCTAGAATAAATATATTTAGTATTATTGTTTTTTTTTTCATTTATATATATAGTATCTTACCTAACACCAAATATTATATCAGGTACTCTTTTGGTTTTTTCAATAAAATAAAAATATAACGATACTTGATATATAAAAAGCATACCATGTGTAAAATGTTGGTTTCTTCTTAAGGCAATATCATCCTCTTCTTCAAGACATTTTTTTATCATTGAAAAACCAAATACAGATTTCAATTTTTCATCATAATAGTCAATTTTAGATTTAAAATTTGAATCATTTAAATATAATAATAATGATTTTTTATTCCAACCCTATAATTAATAGACATAATTAATAAATTAAATTCGAAACAAAATAATAATTTCCACTTACCACTGATTGACCTGAAAAACAATAAATCAATAGATTTTTTTTATTCTGAAAATTAAGTTCTTCCATTATATTTTTCTTTTTATAACAATAAATTATTTAATTAAAAAATAAAAACAAATATATAAAAAAAAATTTAAAAAGGGGTTTATGAAAAAAAAAAAAAAAAAAAAAAAATATAAAAAAACATATAAATAAATTGTAAATAATTAACTATAGATTTATGTATAATTTTTATCTATTATCTATATTCTATTTTTTTTCTAAAAATACCCAAGAATTTTCTTACACTTTTAAAAAGAAATAATATTGAGTAAATTTTTTTTATTTTTATTCTTATTTTATTTTTTTATTTTTATTATTATTATACTTTTTTATTTTTATTTATAATTTTGGTTTAAATAAGTTCATCCAAGAACTTGGGTTAAACATTTTATTCAACCATTCTTCGGTATCTAAACCCATTTTGAATAATAGTTTTGTAAATTTGTTTGGATAGTAAATTTTCTTTAAAATAAATTCGTATTTGTCGACTGGTGTCAAAGAGATGGGTCTACCTATTAATAAACGTTTATAACGAAGACGTTCATAATTTTCTTCTGAAACTTTTCTAAACATATTAAACATATCTATAAAATTATTGTCCATACTGGGTCTATAATGATTACCTAAATGTTCTTTTGCTAATTTGATACGGGTCTCTTTTGCTAATCTTGGTTCGATGATTGATGCACATAATTCGCTTGAATGGAAAAAACTCATATTATCCATATTGGTACTTCCAACGTTAAATATTAAATCGTCAACGATGAAAAGTTTTGAATGGATATATATGGGTTTCAAACGATTGGTTTCTTCATCTTGACGGACCAAACCATAAATACCAACTCTATCGGGTGCAATACTGTGAATTAAATGAAGATGTTTGATAATATGATCTTGAGACCAATCGAAAAGTTCTCCTACTAAGCCACTTGGTAAATCGGTTTTGACTGGAGTTACAATTAAAAGATGGAGATTTGGATTTGCTTTTAATGCTTCGCACATATAATAGGTGAGTGTAAAATTTTGGAATGGGTACTGGTGTTCGATATAAAGAAACTCTTTTGCATTTAATATCATTTTACCATATTCGTCAAACATCATATTGTTATCTAAAACACCTTTCCATGTTCTAAATAATCTTACAGAGCACTGAGTGTATACTTTGGCTGGGTCATTATGGGCTACTTTAACAGAGTTTGCAGGTTTATGTTTTTTGGTGCAGGTTATTGAGCTTGGGAAAACCTCTAATGAGGCTGTTCTTGTAATCGAAACATTTTGAGAAAAAGCATGGATCCATCTTTGGAAAAAGTGTAGTCTTAAATGTTGGGTGCTTGGTCCTCTTAATAGAATTTGAATATCGTGCCATAGAAATCTAATTTGTCTTAAAATTGGTTGAACGTTTCTACCTGTATATCTTATTGGTTGTTTATTTGGTTCCAATTCTTGTTCATTTTGTTCATTTTGCTGTTGGTGTTGTTGTGGCTGTTGTTGTTGTGGTTGTTGTTTATTTGCATTGATTTGCACTAGTTTATGATAATTACTATTTGCTGGTGGTGACGGTGGTGATGTGGGTTTGTTAATGTGTGGTATATATGGTTTGGGTATTTGATGTAATGGTTGGTCATATCTTCCTCTGGCTATATCAAAACCACCTGTAAAAGCAACGCAATGATCAGGACATTCAGGATCGACCAATAAAAGTTTTTCATGATGAGATGATAAAATACCTTGAGGATTACCGACAATTACAACTGTAATACTTGGTGTATGTTGTTTTTCTTTACTATTATTTTTATTGTTATTACTATTGTTATTATTATTTTGATTTCCTTGTTTATGATGGTGATTATTATTTTTATGTTTATGATGTTGATTTTTTGCGTTATAGTGCAAACTAGGATTATCGATATTTGCAAATTCTGAATCTAAACCAGGCATATTATGGGTATGAAATACATTACAAGTTACACCTAAACGATTACATCTTTTTTCTAATTTTGATACTTCTCTTTCGATCGTAACTTCACCAAGATAAAGGAATCTAGTCAAATGCGATAGTAATTCGTGTCTCCAAACTATAATTCTAACATCTACGCCATCCAATGCTTTTGAAATTAAAACATCTTCTAAAGTAATCCATTTCGACATTGGGTCAACGTGAAGAGGAAGTTGAGATTCGACATTTTTGGTTAAAACTAAACCAAATGAAAAGGTTAATTCCCAAGCTAAAATACTGATACTATGTTCTGCATTCATCATAATTTCAAAATACCTTCTAAATGTTTGTAAACCATCGATTAAAACTTCAACTTGATTGCCTTCAGTTTGAATATTAAAAGTGTTTGTTGTTACTTCATTTGCATTGTTATTATTATTATTGTTATTATTATTGT